TACTTGATGTTGCTTTGAATAGATGTTCGAGTGCTCCGAATTGTAGCTTCAATTTCATCAAACATCACAATCACGGCTGCATTGGAGAGGACGGCTCTGTTATAATCAGATACACCTGTATATCCGGTCTGTTATTTTAGTTTTAAATTGCATTCACTTTGTTATTAAAAGATTTATTATAAGATACGAGAAGTGATTATTTTGTGGATCATATCATTTGAATTAAAGCCCAATTCAATTGTAGAACTACTTGAATATAAGCTATAATTTAAAATGTATACCGCTTTTGATATTCGCATAATTGAAATTCTAAACCAAAACACCAAATACTCGGCCAAAATGTTTGAATATTTGTTGCTTTTTGTATGCATTGATTAACAATACGAGAGCCCTTACTATTATGAATATTGTTGAGTGCTTTTGTTACCAATTCATTGACTGCTTCTATGAATCAAACGAATTAAGAATACAATGCATTGAATGGCCAACAGATGGTTGCGAACAGTACTCCAAACCTTATTCAAAATTATTTATATATTTTTTCATTTGTTTGATTTTATAAGCGTTATATACACTACATTGTAAACCTGGGGTACACTCTCTCCACATCTGTCAATAGTGTAGTGAATAAATCATAATTTTGAATGCAATCCTTTTTCTGTTGATTCATATTAACCGCTATTAATGATTATAATCTTCCAATCTTTACAGAAAATAAATTTCATCCCTTTTGTAACTTAAACCTATCGGACAGCTATGGATACGTATCCACTCCTGGGTTTGGCATTTATTTAATTACATTTTTATCATTTATTTTTGTTTATAATCTGTGAATACAAGTTATGACCAAAATTTTTATATATGTAATTAATTTCTAATTAAAATAATTGTTTTTACAGTTATCCTCGATTTTATCCTCCATATGAGAGTTGTGTGTGGAATATAAAGGGCTCTGAAGGACAAGTCATACAAATTGATATATTGGATGTGGCCATCAAAGAGCCAGACTCTAAATACTCTGTCGGTAATCGCAAGAAAGTTCACTACCAGTGCACTGATAGCCTCACTCTCAGAGAATCCAAATCTCAAACGTTGACATTATGTGGTGAAGTGAAGTCTAATTTACTTCAATACAGAACCAAATCTAATGCTCTGACCATAGAATTCACTGCTTTTGAATTCTCGCCAACGCGTGGAATACTATTCAGATATTCATGTAATCAATCATTTATTTCACCACTTTTTCCATTTTTCCGCCAAAATATTTAAGACATATTTTTGTCAATTATAGCATTTTTTGTGCATTTATATAAAAAGTAATATTAAATAGATTTACAATTACCGTATTTTAAAACACCCTATATGATATACATTTGCACCAAATAACTAAATTATACACTTTGGTGTTATTACACAATTTAAATTCTAGAAATAGCTTGGATTGAGCAAAGTTTTTAGTGATATTTTTAGCGTTTGGCTGTTTAAAAATTTTGCTTCAAATCTAATCCATCATTCGTTTGGATTTAATGTCTAATTAAGCAAAAACACTGACAATACATAACAGTAAAATCTATAGGAATTGCAATTCTATATGTATAAATTTAGAGTCTAACAAATATAGTTTTTGGTTGTTTTATTCAATCATTTATAGCATTTGTGTATTGAATTAAATATAGAATTCATAAATTTGTCATTAATAGTACAAAACTGTCCGACACTTCCGGCGCCCAAAAATGGTCACTTAATTACGAGAAACGGAAGTTTTGCATATTATAGCTGTTGTATGGATTATGTGTTCGAAGACACCAAACAAACGGACAAAGTATTGTATTGTCAATATGGAAATCATTGGAATTCTAGTCTTTCTAAATGTGTT